TTTTTTCTGGTCAATATTTGTACTAAATCGAGTGTCCTTCGACAGTAGCCGACCATGAGTGCCCCAATCCTGCCCCTTTCATTCAAGCCGTCAACACTTCGCCAACTGCAAACTTTGGTGCTTGCTCCTCTCCCTGAACATTAGCCTTCGGCGTCTCTTACCTTTAGTACTTGTCATTCCTGACATCCTCTGTGTCATTCTCGGCGCAGACTTTCTCACCACTTATGGGCGACTGCCCTTAATCCTGCCTAAATAACCAGATCACAAAACTTACCGTCCGAGGTATCCACTCTTCCAAACTATCCTTCCAACTTGCCGTCCTGGACCCTAAACCTGACAGGCCAGTTCGGCTATTTCTTGTCAAATATCCTGCACTCACCCGTCCCACCTTCAGCGCTTTCTCACTTTCATCACATCTGAACCACTGGTCCTCCTGTGTTTTCTAGAACCCACCATCTCACGCCTGTACCTATTGCTGCTGCCAAGGCCAAGTTCGAGCACCTTCTTCAGATTGATATAATCTATCAATTTGAAAGCCCCGAGCAACCCTCCTTCACATGGTTCCAGAAGCCATCACTAATGACTGGTGTTCCTGCGAGGCTTGGAGCATGTCAACATCCCGGACTGCTACCCCGTTCAACATCTTCAGGACTGTGCTGGTTTCTTAGTTGGCAAGTCTGTGTTCTCGATGATTAATCTGGTCCGTTATTCCACAAGGTCCCTATAGCTCCGGAGGACAGTTCGAGTGGGACCATCACCCCCGCACTCTTTGCCCTCTTTAAGTTCATTCAAATATCTTTCTGACACTATAATGCTTCCCAGACCTTCCGCAGGCTCGTAGATAGAGTGCGTAATGGCCCACCATTCGAATACACCTACATTAATGACGTACTGGTGGTCAGCGCCACCGACAAGGAACACGCGGGGCGTCTCCCAACGGTGTTTGACCGCGTTCAACAATTTAGCGTTGTCTTCAAACCTTCCAAATGCGTCTTCGCTTTTCCCTCCCTGGCGTTCCTTGGACGTCTGGTTGATACCAACGGCATCCATCCTCTTCCTTCGAAAGTTGTGGCCATCCACGAATTTCCACTTCTTTCTTCCAAGCGTCAACTGCAGGGATTTCTGACCATGCTGATCTTCCTTCCTAAGCGTCAGGAGGGTTGCATCGGCTAGAGCAGCCTTGGTCAATTGGAAAGCAGCGAGGGTGTCTGCGGAGGGCTCGAGGGAACCTTTGGGACCCAGCAGGAGGTTCGTTGGCATTCTGCAAATCATCAACTGGACTATATTTCTGAGTTCATTTCAGAATCTTCCAGTTTCCCATCTAGTTTTAGTCTTTACTTACGCCCGCGCTACGGCCTATCATCAGGCTGCCAATGGGAGGACCGAGCGATTTGATCGCCAGCTGAAAACTTCCCTACGTGCAGCTAACGATCTGGAGAAGTGGACGGACCATCTCCCCCAGGTCCTGCTTGGAAATTGACTATTCCACCGCTGAACTGGTGTTCGGCGACACTGTCCGACTTCCCAAGGAGATGATTCGGCCAATCCCCCAAGTGCATTCGAGCATCATGCCAACCTCCTGCCCCGTCTCCGACATTTATCTCGGACGCTCTTCCCGATTCTACCTGGACCCTCTATCTCTAAACTTCTTCTTGAAAAAGACTTGGTAACGCACTGCCATGTCGATCTCCGATGTCATCTAATGCGCCGGCCGCTAGACTCCCCCATTCCCCCCTCACTACAAAGGCCCATTCTGGGTTGTATATCGAGATAAGATGACGCTCACCGTCTATAGCTCGACACGCGAGGAGGTCGTGAGCGTGGACCGCCTCAAAGCTGCTGTCCCAGGCATTCCTCCAGACGAGCCCGAAGGTCCTCTTTCCACCATCTCCCAGATCTCTTGTCGCTTCATCCCTTTTACTACCTCTCCCACCATGTCCGCTGCCATCGAGTGTACCTACTTCCTCATTCACCTGTAGTGGGTCCTTGCCTTCTGGTGTCTGGCTTTTCCGGTCGTGGCCTCAATCTGTCTGGAGCTCAAGGTCGTTGCGGTCGTCAGACTTA